TCATGATTTAATTAGGAGTGAAGAAACAGGAAACAACACAAAATCTTTCTAATCTCTTTGAAAGGACATTATTAAAGGAAGAAAAAGGAAAAAGGCAAGGCGTGCTCAATTAAATAGGATGGCCGTGGGTGTGCGGCAAGGCAAGCAATGGCAATACAGATGGCGGTGCCGCCGTAGTGATAGAGTTAGGGGCTACGGCACTAGCACTATAATGTCCTTGCCGCCCGCCCATCTCCATCTATTCAACATCGGCATGCGCCCTACTTATGCAAATAATCAATTCAAAAGGAAAATTTAGAACCGACTAATTGGGATTAGTGTAGTATGTACGGTCATCTATGGGCTGTGATTAGTTTTCAGTGGGGATGGAATTTAATTATAGAAGATAAAGGGGAAGAGAAAAGATGGGAGGGGATGTGAATGGAAGAAAAAGTAGTAGTAGTAGTAGTAGGATTGGATTGGAAAAGATGGAGGGGAATGGGAATTGGAATGGGCCTAGTCAACACAAGAAAGAACGTGGCAGTGAGTATTGGGTAGGTTATATGCTGTGCAATAATTGAGGTTTTGTGAGATACAAAGAGCTCATCCAACATGCATTCCATTTCCTAACTACTCATATTTACCCCCAAAAAAGGTAGAATCTTTGTTACTTTTTTGCTCTGGCGTCAGCACCTATCAAAACTTAGGAGAGAAAAATGTAAAAAGGATTTTTAAATTAAAGGTAAAAGAAGCTGTCAGAATTTAGTGGTGTAAGATAGGTGCTAAGTTAAGTATTTTTCGAACTTAATTGTTGTATTTCTAAAAGTGGTATATGAACTAAAATCTTAACAGAGAGACTAGTGGTGTCTTTTTGACCTTATTATTGTTTATTGTCTAGGTTTAAAAAAAAAATCTCTCTCAAGGGAGACACTTCAACTTTGTCCTCACTCCTCACCAAATATTCTCTTGGTTTCAAATGTCATTTTTTTGTAGTGTAATTCCAGCTCAGCTACAAAATACATGGAGACAGGAAATTCCATCTGAAGAAAAAATAAGAAAGAGTAAGAAATACCAGCAATTCTTGGCGTGAAAGTTCCTCTTCCTCAAGAGTTCAGGAACAGAGCTGAGAGCGCCACCTTTCATCTTGCAGTTTTCTCTGCATGGAAAGGTTAATGGTACGCCAAATTTATTATTCCCAATGACTTGTACCACCTTCTTTTGCTTGACTGATTTGGATCAAACCTGTAGCAAACAGCCATGGATCTCCCTTTTTTGAACATATCTTCCCTGAAAACAGTATAAAGAATGCCTAGATTTGATCTGCTGCTTGAACATCAATTGGGCTTTTTGGATCTGTCTGATGGGTGAGGACTGAGGAGAACAACTGGACAAAAAGGTTTGTGGCTCCTTAAGTCTTAAAGCACCAACCCCTGTTCGGTACACCTGCTACAGATTCAATGCAGTTGAAATAAAGAGCAAAAATTAAAAGTACGCGTAACTTGTAAAAGCTCAAACAAACAACAAGCAGACTGATGAGAGAAATGTCCACTTTAGATGTGAGGATACCAATTTATCCCATTATTAGAGGGAGAGGGTTATGTAAAAAGCAAGTAAGGTGGTAAGAACAAATCCCCTTGAAATTTGGTTTATTTTTCGTATCATCCTTTCCATATTTATCAATTATCTGCTACTTTGGCCTATTTGATTGGTTCTATATGCGACACAAAAATTTACTCTACTTGGTTCTTGCGCGGATTGGCTATCTTTAAGCTTTTCTTTGTTCTTTCACCGAAGGGCTCTTGGAGGATGAGGCTTCTAGCTCGATGCAATTCTCTGCAAAGAGATCAATGTTGAACGTTGATTAAAAGCAAAGACAACATAGTGTACAAGATAAACAAAACATGTACAGTTGTTCCTACTATATTTAATAATTCGAGGCCGAGATCTTTGAACGATTCCTACTAATTTTGTTTCAAGTGTTCCCATCCAACTATAGAAAATTTGATTAAACTTTCATTGCTTTATTATTCATGGGTGACGGGTCAACAAATTGCAAGACTGCAAGTCATGAAAAATAATTACAATGTAGAATTACACTCGGCTTTGCAAAATGAATATAAGACAGATTACAAACATAGAAGCTCATTTTAAGGGAGACTAAATTGAACTTTTTGGTGCTAAAACCATTGAAGGAAAACCAAAAAAGAAAAAAGAAAAGGAAGAAGAAGAAAAGGAAGAGGTTAGATTTGCGCCTATGTAAGTTAAACAATGTCCTGGTGCGGAGCCACTTGAGGTCCTGATGCTATGGCAAATTGCAGACCTCTGTGTCGTCCTGATTGTAGCACAAAAGCAACTTGTGCTGCACCTAAGGCTGCAGCCTCCTGTTCCTTAAATTATACAAAACATAGAGGATAAACAAACATTCAATACAAAAAAATGATACTTGAATTATTCGTTAATGAATGATAATGTGGGAGGTGAATCCACCTGTCTTCGTTGTCGACGTTGCAAGATGTTGRCTGCACAAGCCATAATGTAGCAAGGCAAGAGAAAACCGGCCGCTCGGAGCAAGAAAATCTGAACAATATGGTTAAAAACAATGTCCACAAGTTGAAGCCAAAGATCTTTGAAAAGGAAACTGGCAGCAGATTATTGTTCATTGCAGATTAAAACAATCAACTCGACTTACAGAGAAGAAAGCAGACACATAATCATCACCATCAGGATCTGTGACTTCCAGTGCATGACGTAAGAAAAGTAGGATCATGAGCTGCAAAATTGAAATAAAGAAAATGATGTTATTTATCCCAATTGAACGGCAAGTTTCAATAAAAGGTTCTTCCTTTATGACGCTTTTTATGAGAATGTGAAACCACGATGACAAATTTATCTTCAAGAGTGAGGTATTAGCAAAACGGTGTATCCGATATATCCAACTAGTAAGATTGAAGGATAATCTATACTGACATCAATTTAAAAGTGCATGATAAAAGTAAGATTCTTGATTATTATATTGGGTCTCTTATGTGTGATATCGAACAATAAACTTACAATAAGAGCAGCTGCTCGACAAAATGCAGCTCCACTAGCATCTGAAGCTGCATATTCGTCATACTCGGCTTCCAATAAATTACGTTCAGCCTCTGCAATAGCCAAAAGGCGAGGATCCTGTAAATTCAAAGGGGTGCCAGTGATGGTCCATCCTCCCCTGCAGAAACAAGAATGCAAAGAAAGAATACAACATGTTCAGCTTAATCACTCAAATGCACAAAACCAAAGAACTTTCCATAATTTTTCAAGTAAACAAAAATATTTCAGAAGATAATCCTGAAACTTCCTGGAACTTCCTAAAATATGAAAACTTGAAGCATGTAAGGTACCCAATATCAATAGAAGTTTCTTCAATGCGAGGGGGAGGTGGTGGAGCTGTATAATCAGGTTGGTAAGGCTGTACATCGTATGCAAGAGAATAACATCAGATAAGCTGAAACCTCTAAAAACCATAACATTCAAGGTAGCTGAATTTTTCTATATATATGCGTTTACACACATTGTTTTAGTTTTATAATCTTTTAACTGCCAAACTATATCATTCATTGACTTCATTTTTCAACGGAAATATCATTACGGAAGAAGGCTTTTCTTTCAGCTAATGCAAGCCATGATGCTATCATTGAATTATGTCCTTGCTCCTCGGCAAAGTATTGAATCGAGTTAATACATGTTTGCATAACATTGACCACGAGTACACAGAAGATTCTGAGGATTTAACATAACCAATTAAGATAAAGAATGTGCACATACCTGATGGCAGATTTCGCAAGTTATATCCCCTTTCTCATTGCACCATTGCTGTATACACTTCCGATGAGCATACTGAGAAAATAATTATTGCTGTTAACATCTTATCGAAATCATAATGCACTACAGGCACATGGTGTTTCCAGCTTCTGAGATAATATACTTATTACTCGTTCAAGCTTTTAGTACAGTGGCACAAATATATAAAGAAACAGAGGTCCTATAAAGTTGTTTGTTTCACAATGCTTCATCATTGAGAAGAGGACCAATCATTTATACCTTAAGACTGCCACTACAGGCACATGGTGTTTCCAGCTTCTGAATCGTATCCTCATCCTGGCAAATACGACATTCTGCTACCTGAATCAGTGAATCATTCTCTCCATCCAAAGCCTCATTCTCCTCTCTCCTCACACCATCAACATTGGAAGTGGACGTCGAACAAGACGAGGCCACGGAGTCGCCGTCCAAATCCTCTCCGGGCGTTAAGAAAGGAACAATTTCATTCGGGTCGGGCACCGGATCAACGGGTACCGGCCGAATCAGCCGGTCCACATACAAAACGAGATGATCGCCCATTGCTCCGCAACCAGAAATTGAAAACCTAACTCGTGAAAAACAAACCTCACCGGCTCACAGTCCCCAAAAATCATATGCTATATACACGAATAAAAACAGACCCAACCCTAAGAAGAAAAAGAGGTGTACAATTGGGAGAAAATAACCAGAAATCCAGAATCCCCAGTGATCGCGCTGAGAAGGCAGCGGACCGGTGGGATTCCGGAGCAGAATTGAAGAGGAGAGGAAGATAAACAAGGGATTCAATTAAATGAAGGGAGTTGAATCAGATTGGGGCAAAACCCAAGAATATACCTGCGGCAATGCAATGAAAGCGCTGAATTTGTTCGGGTCGAGCGTGAAGAACGGGGATTTGCTTCCGCCGAAACAACGAATCTAAAATGTAATAAAAGCAATAGCGAGGTTTATCAACAACCTGAGGGGAATTTTGGTCACTTCATAAATTATTGGCGCGTAAACAACCGGGTCCGGGTTCTTCCTATCCTCCGCTCCATCTGGCCCGGCGTATTCCCATTCCAGCCCGCCAGTAGCCAGCTAATTTAGCTACATTAAATATTTCATTTCATTTTACTAATTATTAATAAAATAAAAAAAATTACATACTTAGTCTTTTTTTATAAGAAAATTCAATTCTACAAATCAGGAATATTATTGAAAGTTTAATATAATATCCATATATGGTGTTCACTTTAACAGTGAAGTTACATCATTGCCATGTAAAATACTTTTATGAAAAGAGAGGTAACAAAAAATTACACAAAATCTCTTACAACCTATTTTTTCATTGATATGGAGCGTAAGTCGCTAGTCATTGAAAATGTTTGATTCTTCTATTCTTTTGAGTTGGTATACGAGTTTACTATTCTTTTGAGTTGGTATACGAGTTTACTTCTACGATGCTTGATGGAAATCTCCTTGTGAAAACTTATCCTGATATTGGAATGCTGACTTTTGACAATAAAATAAAAGCATTGGTTTCAATTTTTGTTTATCTCAAGTTGTATTTGGTGGCATTAGAATTCTTCATACTAGAAGGTGACGGACAACCTTTTCCAAGCCCGTCTCAAAATAGGGAGTCTATAAGTTGAAGGAAAGAATATGTTTATGCTGCCCACTGCACTTCTAATATTGCCCACCGCATAGAAGTTTGGGATCCATAGCCTATATTTCTTTCTTTGGCGTTTTGACTGAAAAATCAAATGTATTTCTAAGAAATGTGAAAAACCTAAAAGAATCGCTAGAGTGCAAGCATAATTTTTGAAAACATAAAACAAAAGAAATGAAATCATTATTAGACGTGTCCTTAATTTTTAAAATCAAATTAATCATTCAAACTCACTCTTGATTTATATGAAAATGATTAAGCAAGAAGATTTTCAAACCAAATATTAAAATAATTGATTATTAAACATGTTTTACAAAATCATTTAGAGCTAAATCACTCCCAAACCTACCAAATTCATCACAACCAAAAAAATACCCAAGATTTACACAATTATACAAAGAGAGAAGGTAGGGAGAATAGACCTGTTAATGCATTGATTCCGTTGATAAAAGTTCTGAAGAAGGTGGTGCCTTCCCGTGGAAGCTGGCTTTGGCTCTCCATTAATCTGTCTGCATAAATTAATCGACTACTTTGGCTACCGTTATTGTGTGCAAAGCAAGTAAAACTTGGAATGAAATAAATAAGAAAAGCATGCATAAAAAACAAAACAACAAAAGATGTTACCCCTTTCTCTGGTGTACCAGCTTAAAAGACAGTAATTGACAAGACTTTAAATGTCGATGTCTCAATTTCATGGATATTTTTCTAAAAAGTTAGAGAAATTATAAAAAACGTACCAAAAAAATTAAACTAACAAGTAAATAATTACTCCTTGTGTTGATGTCAAACTCATGGAAATGTGGATGGACGTATTGACGAATATTTAATGTCATGGTAATTCGTAAAGACTAAAGACTGACATCATTTTTATCCTCAGCCACGTGGCACCATTCCCAACTACTTCACTCTTCAAAATTTTATCCTGATGTGTTGTTCCTAAAAAATAAAATAAAATAAACATAATTGGCTGATACCATTTTTTTTCTACTATTATCTGCAATATATATAAAAGTATATAAAAGTGAGTAGGTGGAAGATACTCATTTTTAATAATATTATATTCTTCATTTCTTAAATAACACCTAAATTATTGATGTTTAAGTTTCTCTCTCTTCCACCCATATCTCCTTCCACGTTCGTCTCTCTCAAATTCTAAGTTTCTTTACTCATTTAACTTTACTTTTCTCTTGCTAAAAAAAAAAAAAAAAAACTTTACTTTTCTCCCTCCCACCCATCCAAATTCTCCCTCTTTC